TTCCTTTTTTTATATATCATTTAAAAGATCATTACTATAAAAAAAAAAAAATATAACGATCACATTGTTGTTAAAATATCTCAATAATTGAGATAATTGATATCATGCGATTTCTTTCTTCATGTTTTTAAATAAAAAATGAATCTGTAAATATTTACATATCATTTTTTCCCAAAGAAAGATTACCTTATATTCTTGTACTTCTTCCCCTTATGATCATCATCGGATACAAATGAAGTACTTCGATATATAATCTAGATGAGAATATAAAAAATGATATAAAGCCACGATTGTCAATGTTAGAGACAATCAAAGTCAACGTTCGACGTCTTATAATTAAACACGAAACATTTACACAAATGCGAACAGTCTAAACTACCTACGCTGAATATCACGTCACGTATCGGTCACTACACTGATGCAGTAGCGCGATCTGGCGCTAGATAATATTTCAAAGGTAGAAAGAAAGCACATCAGTCAATGAAATGCATCTCCGGAAAAATATTTCATCGAACGATACACTTTTCCATTGTAATCTTGGTATTTTATTAATAATAATAAACTGCGTATAAATGGGCAGCACATGGGAATATACAAACAAATATGTACGAACATTTATGTTCGTTCTATTTCATCGTATAAATGTTAACTTGCTGATAATCAGATTGACAATGTTTCTTTTCAAGTTTGACTTATTGAAAAATAATTTATGTTAACAAATTTAAAAGAAAATATTTATTATAAACGTCAATATGATACGATTAGAAAAAATAAATTTAATAATCTACTATTTTGTTTATTTTGTATCGCAAATAAACGTATGTATTTTTTGTGCACATGTACCTGAAAAATATATTTAAAAAATTTTCATTTTTATTTATATTTCATATATTAACCCTTTTTTTATGGTATACGTATTCACAAGTAAACTTCTTCCGTACGACGGACTCCGTCATCCACTTTGTAGATAAAGTGAAATGTGTATAATCTTATAAAATAATTTTCTAAATGTTAATAAAAACGAAATTTAAAGGAAGACAATGTTAAAATATCTTCATTTTTATTATACAAATTATTTTCAGAATCAATTAATCCGTTTCTGAATTGATTCTTTTTTAAATTCCTTGTAAACATCTTAAAGGTTTAAAATATTATTAAATTTTTATTTAAAAAACAGAACAAAATTAATTTAAAATTTTAAAAAAGATACGATTTAAAATATTTTTAAATAAATTAATATTTGATTTCTTCCAAATTCACTCAATTGTTTGAGAATAGCTTTATTGTAATTTCTTTATAATGAAAAATTAATATTAATCTATTTTAACATATTTCTTACAATACTAAAAAAAAAAAAAAAAAAATTTGTTGTTTTAATTCATGATTAGAATCGAAACGAATGTGTTCTGCGATCGGTGCAAAGTACTGATCATTGATAAAAGTTGGCGCTCGTATCGTTAGCTCGTTAGGTGTACCGGTTATAGTCGGCACTCGTATACACAGGTCCTCGTATGGATCCTAGTAAATGTCAGAGTTACAAATAAAAAGGGGTTAAGAATTCAAATTGAAAAAAAATACAAATTGATAAAGATTTACAAATACACATGTAGAAAAAAAATAATTAACAACGATCTGGCATGGAGTTCTTTATTTTTTTTATTTTTTTTTATTTTTTTTTATTTTTTTATTTTTTTTATTTTTTTTTTTTATTTTTTTTTTTTAATAGGCATATTTATTATAGAAGTTTTGTGTATATTCGTCTGTTGTATTCTATAAGTCCTAGCAATATTTTTTATGTGTAATATGTATATATGTACATATATACATATGTATACATACACATACATATGTATATATGATGTATGTACACACACATATATATTCATTATGCCAACTTTTTCTTTTTGCGTGTCAATATGTGTGTGATTCTGTCATGTGTAAGTGCGAGTATGTGTAAATATGTACGTAAGTACACATGTATTTATACGCACGTGTTCATCATAGATTACTTTTTATAGCACAATGGTCTCATTACATGTATACAATGTACGAAAGACCATAGTATTCCTACTAATCTCCTGCCTATAATCTGCCCAATCTGCACTTACATTATTTATTTATTTATTTACTTATTTATTTACACTGATAACCTCCCCGCTCCCTTTTCATTTCTTTTCTCGCTCTCCCTCCTCTCTTTCTCTCTCTCGGAGCATTCACTTATCCACGCGTTTTTTACAACGCGTCTTTATTATTTTAATTAATTATAAATTAGTGTAATTTTATTTATCTATCGTTCTCTCTTTCTCTCTTTTTCAAAGTGCATTATACATTTTCATCTCGTCAAACGATACATTCTGCTATGTAAAGTAGAATGTGTTCATTCAAGGAGAGACATGTGTATCAGAGTTTTAATCATACTAATTTCTTGTCGATCGTTTTTGCACTCGCTTCGTTTCTTCGTTTCATTCGTTAATTGTTTATACAGCAGGACAAGAAAAAAAGAAAAAAGAAAAAGAAAACAAGAGCAAGAATCGCATCTTTCATTTCACTTTCATACTCTCTCTCTCTCCCCCTCTCGCGTCCTTTTTTTCAATTTTTAACGGTAACAAACAAATTATGATTATTTTCTATATAATATATCTATCTATGGAAAACGTATTAACATTATATTTAAAAAAAAAAAGGAAGAGAAAAAATCGCGAAAAATGATTAATTTATAACAATTACGCATGCGCGGTCCTCATACACAAAGTTATACATTGGCAAAATAAAAATCAACTTATAAGAGTACCGCCATGCGAAAAAGGGATATTGTATTCGTTTGAAACACTATAAATGACAAATAGAACATAATCCTTGTTGTTTTTTCTTTATATATATATATATATCGTTAACAATGACAATTACTGCCGTTCTTAATATTAAACATCTCTCTCTTTCTCTCTCTTTCTCTCTCTCTCTCTCTCTCTCTCTCTCTTTCTTTCTCTCTTTCTCTCTTTCTCTCTTTCTTTCTCTCTTTCTCTCTTTCTCTCTCTCTCTCTCTCTCTCTCTCTCTCTCTCTCTCTCTCTCTCTCTCTCTCTCTCTCTCTCTCTCTCTCTCTCTCTCTCTCTCTCTCTCTCTCTCTCTGATGCGTGCAATCATCATTCGTGGAATTATATTTCCAGCGAAGTATTATGTACAACGTATTTAATTATATGAACATTCGATTATTCGTACTATATATATATATATATATATATCCTAAGATAATTAAAGTTATAGTTTCACGTCCTTTCGTTTGAACGTGCACATATTTAAGAAAGTCAAATCGTAGAAAACTGATTTAAAATAAACTATATTTTTTTTCTTTTTTAGGAATGGAAAAGCACATTCGATTTTCTTGTTTTTTTTTCTCTCGTTATTAAGTATATATCCATCTCGACTGTGTCTTGAAGCAATCACGCTTTTCTCGCATACAGATATAGACAAGATGTAAGCAGACAACAATATTGACAAAACATACGTATTTTCGTTTTGAATAATCATTCCAATGTAATTATTATTATGTATAAGTTCAAGTCAGCCGATTCATTCTACTTTTCTTTTTATACGAATAAGGTATATTTTAATGAGAAAATCAGTTTGCACATTGTATCATTATAATCGATATAAGTAATAATTTTATACAATTCCCAGCGGCACCTATGTTGTGTGTGTCACATAGATACATGCACAAATGATTCATTCCCATACACTACACTTTGCTCTCTTTTAAAGATTGTAAATAGCTAGTGTTAAAAAATAGCGCCTTAATATGCACACCACTTATATCATCTTCTTCCATTATATTTTTTCGGTACACTTTCCTAGGCTATAAGTTCTAAACTTTTTTTATGTATCTTTTTATTCACTTTTTTATGTATCTTTTTATTCACTTTTTTAATTTTTTTTTTCGTCCTACCGTGTTTGAACTGCTCTCTTCGTCTTCTTTCTTCTTTTTCTTCTTCTTACGATACGTTCCTTATTTGCAAAGATATAAATTATTAATTCTGTGTATGTGTATGTTCGTTTATAATAATAGGAAGAACCACAATACTCGTATCATCAGACTTGATCATCTATCATCAGAGCTTCGTAATCTTCGAAATTTTCATCACTTAAAATTGACCCACTCGTATCTGGTTTTTTTTTCTTTAATTTGTTATCTAAATCTTGTGTAGCACTTTGGTTGCTTTTGCGGCATTTCTTTGTTTGTTTGGTGTAAATAGAAATATAACACAACTCGTACAGGTTTCTGATTTCGGTAATGAGATAACATATTTTCAGTTCCATTGTGAGTGATCGACATATTTCAGAAACACTTTGCGAGATATTGTAAAAAACACGTGAATATTTTCTCAGCTTATTTTTATTCATTTATTTTTATTCTTTATTTATTTCAACAATGAACCATTTCAATGAATTATATATAATCATTATCTTGCATAGATTTCAATGATTTGTCTTCTATATACATGTGTCATACAAACGGATCGAAATAGTAACGATGTTTGGATCTTACTCTATCAGCAATACATACATAAATAATATTAATTTATATTGTTATTAAAAATATAAAAATCTCTTTTAATCTTAAAAAGATTAATGCCTGATTCATTTTAATATCCAAACAAATAATAGATAACTAAATCATTTGGTAAAATTATTTAATAATAAAAGAAAGTGATTCTTTTTAATAGTAAAATTAGTTATTAAATCATAAATTTATATTTAAACACAATATTTTGAATTTTTATAATAATAACGATTATTTGAGATTTTTCATTTTATTAATTAGTTATCTCTAAAATGTTTAGCTCTGAAAAGAACTTTGGACTATTGAAAAGATTTAATAAGATTTAATAAAAAGACTACTGTACTAAAAAGATTTAAAAAATTTTCGCGTTGCAAATTATGAGGATTAATAGTGCAATTCTTTTTTTTTATTTTTTATTATTTTTTATTTTTTATTTTTTTTTTATTTTTTTATTATTTTTTTTATTTAAATAGAAAATGCTGAAAAACGATTGAGTGTAATTGTGCGCGAGTATATATAAAATATATATATAGTCTAGATTTTCATGGTACAATATCAAAGCCAGAAAATAAAAGAAGATTGTCAAATACAAACGGATACATAATGACTATATTTGAAATACGCTATACATAATGAAGATAAAGATTAATTATTAATTATGATACAGAGATAAATGCAAGATAATTAATATATATAATTCATTGAAATGGTTTAAAGTTTAAATAAGGCAAAAAAAAATAAATAAATAAAAATAAACTGGAAAAATACTATCGCGTTTTCCTAATCAATTAATTGAATAATTGACGATGATTATTTGAAATCTCTCGCGTTATTTGATTTTTTGTGAAAATTAGTTTAGATAAGACCGTTATTTCAAATAACTATCAAAATAACAGTTATTTGAAGAACTTGTATTATCTGTAAATAATTGTTTATTTATCTTTTATTCGAATAAAAAGTGCCCAGCTCGTATTCCTTCTAAAACGATGCACCGTCAAAAGGTATCGGAGTTCACATTGCTTGGGCCGTCTTCGACACTGGAACTGTCCTCGGCTTCTTGTAAAGAAATGAAGAACGCCGTCAGCGTCATGATAGCTACACTATGGCCTTCATGTTCTGCCGGATCTTCACCTTTTTGCCATGCCAAGAATGCATCAGAGGAAATAATATTGTCCCCTGACAATTTGTTTATTATGTTCCTTAGTATACCTATTAAACATAGAACATTATTATTGATTACTTGTGTTTTTTTTTTTAATATTACAAGATACTTTACGATTATAACAACAAAACTAAACTTACCACATGGAAACTCGAGTTTCGTCATATATGCTTGAATAGCATAAAGACATTGCAATTCTAGTACTTCATCGGTATCGACGAATCGATGAATTAATAATTGCAAATCGCTGAATATGTGTTCATTTAACTTCCACATTTCATTAAACGGTACTACAAAAATAATATATTAGTTATAAAAATGAAGAAATCAAATAACTTTTTTTGTAATAGTCGTTAGATATTAAAATTTTAACAATATATACCTATGGACGTTTCTAAAATGGCAGTCATCAATATCCTTATGAATTTAGGATCTTTAACTCTACTACCAACATTTTCCTGTAATAAATAAAAAAATACACGTTAATTTTTCTATGTCATAAACACAAACTTCATATCCCAAACAGGATATATTTTGCAATCTTATAAAAATATTTACCGTTATCCAACTACTTATTTCATCAAAAGTATTCTCTTCCATAAGCCTTTTAAGTTGTTCGTGAATCTGTTGTAAACTAAGCTCATCACTGCTAGAGCTTTTGGCACTATTATAATCTCCAATCAGGAATTCTAAATGCTACAAGAAATAATAATAACAAAAAATAATAATAATAATAATAAGTGAAAATAATATTCGTATTTAGGATAAATTATAAGAAAATAATAAATGAAGTTGCAATGGAAAATCTTACATATTCCTTAGCAATCTTCTCAATGTTCTCTCTTTCCGGGTCGATAATATCATTCAATGCAAGTCTGCTTTGGTCCCATTTATCTGCAATCCATTTGGATCCTTTTTCTTGGGATAATTTCGCTAGTAACTCTCCGAGAAGTTTTCCTGCACCACCTTGACTTTTTAAACTTATAAATATACTGCCCATTTCAGATAATGGCATTACTTCGTCTTTTATTGGATGAGCTGAAAAGAAGAATAAATATCCAAGATGATAACAGAATATATTTTACCATATTAATGAATTTTAATTCCATTAAAATTCAGGCCTGTTGAGCTATAAAATTCCGCATGGTATATCCTATGATATTATATGAGGTCATCATAAAAATTTTTACATAAATCAGATGTTATGTTCATATACTGTGAAATAACAACACTAATAAATAAAGACATAGTTTGATGAGGAATAATACTTACTTAATATTTCTGCAAGGTAAGTCCAAATCTTCGGAATATCAATGATTAAATCATCTATGAATTCTAGAACTTCGCTGAACCTACGAAATAATTACATTTGTAAATTTTTGAATGCTTACAGATAGGTATTGGGTCTAAATAAGGTATAAATTTCAGTATCCTTTTGGCTATAAAAATAACATCAAGATAGAAGGCATCTTTTCTCGAAATGAATATCATCACTTTTATTCATTTGAATATGGAAAGAAAGAAGAAAATATTTAGAACACAAATAGTCGTAATACTCACCCTGCTTTCAAATGTTGTAAGGGTAAAATATTTCGTGTAATCAATTGTGACATAAGTCGTGAAACTCGTTCTCGTTCAGCGGGAGATTTTTCAAGAACAAAGTTAATTGACTCACGCACGAACTTTGTAAACGTAGTATTATCAAAAATCTGGCTTACATCAGAGATAGCATTCTGTAAAAATACACAATAAAATAGAATATTAATACTTGCTTGTGATTATGAACAAATAAAATTGAACATAATCAAATGTATTAAAATGTTATAATAATCTGTCCTCTCTTTAATATGCATAGTAACGAAATTATAATAAAGTAAATTTACATTGTTATTATGATGGATTAAAGAGAAGGTATTGCATAATATAGCACACCAATGACTCAAGCATCTCCTAAGATAAAAAAGAGATGGATCTAAGGGGTATGCATAGTTGGAGCGTTAAGAAATGAAGAAAAATATCATATAAGCCGATGATTATCACAGTGTGGAGTTTAACTCATATTTTTCGTCTTGATTAATATTTATTTGAATGATTTAAAAATGGTTTTTGTTTATTTTCTTTGTATTTTTTTATAATAACAAAAAGCATAGAAAAAGTATATTTTTTCTTCAAAAATAATTCTTTTATGTAATTTAAAAATGTTAAGAATAGCATATAACAAAATATAATTTTTAATATCTCAAATAACTTAGACCGTTTTTATAATCACTGACTCATAATCACATAGAAGTAATAAAATATTGTTCTTAAGCGATTGAATACGAACTTACCTCTAAAATGTGTTCTCTTAAATAATCCTTCAGTGTAGAATTAAACGCTTTCGTAAACGCTTCTTCTGACAACGGAGCTTTCAGTCCACTAGACACAGATTGTGATGTAGACTTCAGAGACTGTGTTGGCATCGACACATTTTGAGTTTGAGAATTATCTAACAATGAGCTCTCTCTACTTGACGATGCACCGCTGGTTAATTGATGGCTACCGTTTCGAGAACTCCTACCGTCTATAATAAATATATAAACGATTAAAATAACTGTTTTTTAATTATATTTATAATTAATCGTTTTATATATAAACTCAGTATCCTTTTGGCTATAAGTATTAACACCAAATCTCATATAGATTTTTCTAGAAAAAATAAATTTCTCATCATATTAAATAATAAGTATAAATAAGTCAGATTCAAAAATGTATGCTAACATTTTAGCTTTATAATAATTCTCATTATAATAATCAAAAACATATTTATATTAAAAAATATATAAATATCAAAAACATCTATAACCATTTTTGGACACATACCGTAAGGGGATTTGTAGTCACGTCCATAATCCCTAGGTCCAGTTGATCTCGATCTAATATATACATAAAAAAAGAAAATATTCTGAATATGATTGAACAATAAACTTTCAAAATATATATTTAGAAATAATACAATTTCAGAATAAATTTTAAAATCATATAAAGAGTAGAAGATTCAGAAACTCTAGTCTGTTATGAGGGATCATCACATTCTACATATTAATAAACAAAAATAAAATATGAAAAAGAAATATATAATATATATACATATATATATATACATATATACCCAGAAAGTTGAAGTGGTGGCATTCTCCTATCCTGTTCTATGGCAGTAATATTTTCGAGACATGCGAATTTATTAGAATTTATTGTCTTAGCGTTATTTGCGGAAGTTTTCCACATATACACGTTCCTACTACCCAATATTAAATCATCCACAGGAGTCTAAAAAAAATATTATTCATTCGAAAATTCTACCTCTTATTGACTTAACATTACAGTAAACTTTATTTTGATGTATCCCTCACTTACAGTTTTCTGCCTTAATTTTGCTGTTTCAACAGAATAGGTTTGTCTTGTTCTACCTACAGGTTGACTCCATCCACCTTCATCTGCAGGCCCAAATCCTCCTATAATATAAGATTGTAAAGACCTAATGTTCATTTAAAATTACATTATATTATTGTATCATTCCAATTACCAATATCAGGATATAACATACATATTCATTCATTTTTATACCAGAAACTCTAGTCCAGACAAAAATATTTATACCATAATACCGGTTTTATTGCTAATCACTATATTTCTTATTACATTTTATTAAAATCTAACATCACAAATTAAATGTATTCAAACTTACGATTTCTTTTTCTATCAGCATTGCGGTCATCTTTTCTAGATGTGTTCAATGGTGCATTAGTAAGTTGAGTATCCAGTCTTTCGGATTCAACTTCTTTTTGAATTTGATCTATCGTTTTTGGATTACTATCGTCTCTCCTTGGAATCCATTTATTAGCTCTCAAATCTATAACATCTTGTAGCATAAAACGAATTCTAGAGCTTATTTTACCATGTCCACGACGTCCAACAATATCTTGCATCTTGCTAAAATACTCTTGCATTTCCTATTGAAATAATTATTTGAAAAAATTATATATGTATATGTAGATATATTTTTTTCTCATGAAATTAATTTGTAATCGCGAAGAGAAAAAGTATCCACTCACATCATATTTCCCCTTGGATTCTAAATCTTTTCCAATGGTTGTTAATAGCTTACATAAACACTCAAGACTATCTTCATCATTTTGATCTAATAAATGATTTATACAACGATGCATAATGCCCGTTGTTAACATTCCTTGCTTATAAAGTTCACCGATAAATCTACAAACGAATAGAAACGGATGAGAAAATATTTTTTAAAATTCCTAATTATATAATAATTTTACTCATTATGATTATAAATGACTTACCGAATATTTCCTACAGATTTGATACGTATCCTACGTTCCTCCTCTTCAAGCTGTAACTGCAAATCCTTTTTCTTTTCCTAAAAAAAAAGGGGGAAAAAATGCAAATATAAAATAAAATTCAGATTTAAAAAATCAAGATATATTAGGGATATTTTTGTTAAATTAAACAATATGTTTATTAACGTACAGGATCGTTACATTCTTCTATTTCTTTAGTTTTACTTGCTCTCGAAACTTCATCAATTGGATTCTTCTCAAATTCTTTTTGGCATCGACTGATAATCAGTTTCCTAAAAGTAACAGAACTTTCTGCTTGCTTTCCTGCACTTTTATCACCGCCAGATGCCTCCATTAAAGCAAGTTCCTTACACATTAATGCGTATGCAACTGAAAAGCTAGGTTCATCGACAGCCTGAAAATAAATAAATAAATAAATAAATAACTAATTCCTATCTGTTTTACTAATGCTTAATAATAATTCATTATATTATATTACGTATAATTGAAATATTACCTTCTCAAAAACTAAGTTGATTACACCTTGAAATCTTTCTTGTGTATCAATTGTTAATGACCTAACTTGGTCAATTAAAGTATTAAATTTCTGTGGGGTAAGCTTATTTAGAACACTACGAACACGCTTATACAATGCTTCTGTTTTAGCATCTTCCTCGCTTAAATCAAGTTGCTTCATTCTAGTAGGACGCCATGCATTCTCTGTCTCTCTCAATTTTACATCTTCTCTAAGAGATAGAGAGACATGAATAACATTTGGTTTAGTTGGCTTTGATTTCCCTGAAGGATGACTTTTTCGATTTGTAGGTGGCTACATATAAGAAAACAATTTTTATTTTAACTAAACAAATCATTGAATATATTATATAACATAATACATATTTGTCCACTCAGTAAATGAAAATTTTTCATCAGACTTATTCAGATCACTACTTTCATTCTTTAATAATTCATCATTATTATTTCTATATTGTTGCATTTGTAATATTTATTATTCTTATTACTTACCACACCACGTGCAAGTCCTGATTTCACAAATACAGGGAATAACGATTCTGGCCTGCTTATACTTGTGTCTTTAAATGATCTGAAATCCATTGTACTGCGAATCTATAAAGAAAAAATACGTAACATAGGAATACATGATTTTAACAATAATATACGAAAATAGTATTATAATCATGACTATTTTTACCTTTGTATTATCTTTTAAAACGACTTCTAAATCTGGTAGATTGTTTGGCTTAATTTTACTATTTGGGTCATCTTGAAGTCGTATTAAAAATTCACGATCATAAACTTTTTTACCACTCTTATTTATCGGACTCCATTGATCGTCCTTATATGTATATTTTAGTGGTATAGAACTTTTTGATACAGCAATGTCTGTTGTTGGAGATTGAGGTTCACTCTGTTCGTTTGATTTTTCCATTGTTAGCACAGATGGAATCTTTTCTTCGCTAGATGCTTGAAACGCAGAAATTTTCGTATTTTCTTCGTTCTTCTGCGCTATTATTGTTTCTAAATCAACATCCTCCTTAACAATTGCATGATCAACAACATCATTATTAGGAACTGACTTCATTTGGGCACTACTACACGTATTTTGAGATTTTAGAATTTGTGAATTATCTTCTATCTTTGAAGATATTTCTTTAGTTATCTCTTTTTCACTTTTTAACTTCTCAATAATAGGAGTTTGAACAGGATCATTTTCCTTAACTATATCCGGAATCACATGTTTCTCCACTTTGGGATGGACAGCAGTTGCTGCTTCTTTTTCCTTAAAAGACTCGTAGTAGTGAGAGTTAAAAGACTCATCTTTTTCTTTAATTTCTTTTGTCATTTCTCTAGTAGATTGTTCCTTGTTATCTTTTATCGGTATAGTTTCTTTATTATCTATTTGTTTCACTTCTGGTTTATTAATTGGAACTGTATTGACAAATGCATCCATATCTGTGCCTTCTTTTTCAGCTCCTTTTCGATTAAGCTCGCGAGGTTTGAGCTTATTTTTGCTCTTTTGCTTTTGCATTGCTTTACCTTAAAATAAAAAAGATACAGAAACATTTTATTAAATCATGATTTTCTTTTACATGGACATAGAAAAAGATTTGCTACAATAAGACATCATTTTCATTGTCATTAGAAAACTGTTACTTATTGCAACAGCAGCACCATTGAGAAGTGGTGCACAGGCTGCGGTAGAAAAGTGAGTATTCCGGCCAACAGCCAAAGATAATTATAGACACAGAGCAGAGTACACTACATAGCTTGACTTTCTACACTTGGACTTATCTTTATTTAAATGTGTTTCAATCATTAACAAAATAGTTCATGATATATTCATTATGAATTTCCTCATTAATTTTGCAACATTATTTTATTTCTTTACTCAAAATGATTAATATCACGAATCAATTCACCGTTTCAAAATAAATATGAACACAATGGTATAATAATACATTACTATTTCTTAAACTACATATTTTATTCATTTTTAACTTTAATTTTCTTTCCACAGCACATAGAGACATTCCAGTAAAGGACATATTTTTAAATGACAAACTTAGAAAGAAAATAGAACAAGATAAAGAAGTATAAAGACAATTAATCAGTTCCTTAGTTTTTTTTTTTTTTTTTTTTTTTTTTTTTTTTTTTTTTTTTTTTTTTTTTTTTTATATATATATAAAATGCCAAAAAAGTACACTCGCATGCAAGATGGTTCAATGTACCATGATCCCTGGAACCACGTCGATTGCGACTTCTTGATCTCGAGCCACTGCTCGCTCGAGTTCTGCTACTCATTTTTCTCCCCTTTTTTCTTGCTTTCTTTTTTCTTTTTTTACGATTACCACAATCCAAACAATTTGATTATAATTATTCTTATTCGCGCGTCATTATAACGACAGTATAAAATTGTTATTTTTCATTCAATCTAATTAAACATATCACGTATATTATAAATATTACATTGTGTCACGATATTAAATCCACGGCACAAAACTCAAGTTTCACTCCTCTCACTTCTTAGAGACAAGAACACCGATTTAAAACTTATTTATAAACCGAAGATCGAGCCAAAAACGGTAGTGCACGACTTCACGATTTCCGTAAGAACGTTGCAGGAAAATAAAAGATTCATTTCGCTATATAAAAAAAATATACTATGAGAAACAAAGACAAAGTATAGGAAATACGTTAGACTATACACAAAATTTTCCTAACTATCACTACTGGATATATATATATATATATGTAAGCATATAGATATACATATATATACATAGATATATGTATATATCACGTTGAATCGAAACGATTTGATAGCTTTACGTTATTATAAAATCCCTCTTGTATGATAATCGTTTAAAAAACTAAGAAGAATCCTTGTCAGAATGTTAGCACGAAACTAAAGAACACTTTGGAAAACACTTGGAAGGTATCCCCGTACGGCTTTCACGCATCTATTTTAACCTGTGAACTGGCGCACACCACAGCGCGCGACATAGGATTTCTTAAATTAGTTCTGTTCGCCGGTCGTATGACTGAGCAAGCGCACTAAGGACTATTTTACACATGTAATCTAACCTACGCGTAGCATAATTCTGAAGGATCTATGTGATTCATAGAATAATGATGAAGATTATATAAATGATGATTGTCATTCTGCTTCTTTTTATTGCAACGAAAATTATGTCATTCTATTTCGATCATTTTTCAACAATTTTAACTTTCTATAAATCCATATAACTTCACCCTGTTAACCGGAGAAGAATTGAAACAGAAAATTGTTATTTATTCATTTTATCAGAAGAAAAATTAAATCTTCGTCACGAGTTAACTCATCATCTCTAAGTTCAGCAGGTTAAAGTCATAACTACTTAATAAAATTTTATTTCATTTTATTGACAGAAACTTAACACACTGTTAATCAGTCACGAGTATACTTGTGTTTGCACATACGTAAAAATGTAATTATTAAATGTAATATTATGTAATAAAAATTGAGTTATAGAAATTTAATAAGCCAGCTTTTGTTACGAACTATATCACCAATTATAATGAACAAAGAATATTATACTGTGTATATCGAGTGTACTAAAAAAAACCGATTAGTAACAAATTGCGAATAATTCATTGATTTATTTAAAACGCATAATACAACAGAGAATACGATTATGGTTCCTGATAGCGCAAGCATCGATCACGAAGTGCCAGTTAATTCGATGCATGAAAGTAAGTTGAGTAAGATTTTATAAAAGCAGGTCGAGGTAGCTATCTTAAAAGAGCATTGCAATGAACGTGCACGCATGAGATAGAATTTTTTTCTTTTTTGTTTACTACTACCTATCTCTTATTTTTCCGCAGAATTAGATAGAACGAACAAAACGATTAGCCTGACATTTCTAATATCTAAGATTTAACCGTACGGTAAAGAAAAATCAGACCTTTGATTTATCGATTTAACTTTTCTAATATTTTTTCAAATATTTATATACGATTTATCTATCTTTTCTCTTTGTAATATAACTGTACATAAACTGATATATATATATATAAAATATATAAATTATATATATTATATATATAATATATATATAAAAGTTATTTATGAAAGAACAAAAATGAAATATAATAATAAAAAAAAAAGAATAGAAAATGTTTTTAGAATGATATTTCTAAGTAACGAATATAAAAATGGATCATGGATCACAAAGGCAACATTTCCAATGAACTATGTAAATCTTTTATGCGATTAGAGAAGTTTCAAGGTTACCGCCGAAAGACAAAGTATTTTTTGCACAGACACGATGCGTGCTCTTGTGAAACGGCTTTAACGGAGGTCCTCTAACCGTAGCCACGCGTATGCGTGACTCGATATACGTTCCCGGCCATGACCCCATGCGTTCTAAAGACCGTTCACGGCGCATGCGATTTTCTTACAAGAGAACGACGGACGGAGAAAACGTCTGGAAATAAATTCGAAATAACCATTGACAACAACAAATTTTATTCACGATTATTCATAATTTTTCTTATTTTTGATACGTCAAACGAAAAAAATGAAAGAAAAAAAAAAAAGAAAAAAGATCTAAAAAGAATCTAAAGATTCACACGTACATTTTTTTGGAATACAATTACGAATAAAAAAATGATTTATACAAAAAAAATTAGTATCTTGAGAAAGTATACATTTTAATTTAAAAAAATCTATTATCTATCATAATAATTCTTTATTTATTCTACTATTCAAAATAGAAACTATAGTAAAAAAAAAAAAAAAAAAAAAAAAAAAAAAAAAAAAAAAAAAAACGATTAAACCATTATCATTCCAATCAAACCCATGAGATCGAACGGCCATGTTGTTTTAATTGCGCTCGTGATCTCGTATATAAACAATTTATAATCAAAAATTTTTCAACACGATTTTTCTGTAATCTATTCGATAACACCATTAAACATAACGATCTTTTTTCTTTTGTATAATCCTTTATAATGAGCATATGTTTCGCTAACCATCTACCGTCACACTGTACTTTCGAGTAAAAGGCATGGCGAGAACAAAATGTCGGGTCCACGTTGTCGATGCGACATTTTTGGTTAGGTTTGATCGTACAAATAATATATTAAAGGAACATGTGCCTAGTAACCGAAGAAATATATTTTAATATAAACAGATGTATACGTATATGCACATTCACAGTAAATTATAGGTGTGTATATATATGTACATACATTTCGAGTAAAGACGGAAATTTGCCTGGTTGTTCTGTCGTCATTGATGTCGTCACATCCGCTTTGAATTACTTCGTATTAAAAAGTACGACGAATGCGACACGTGTTAAGTACAATAAACGCACTTTTCTCTCTCCAAGGATTAAAAGAAAGGATTGAAAGATTTGTTCAAATTCGTATAAATATACATAAAAGGAATAAAAAATAAAATAATAAAAAACAAAGAATATAAGAAAAAAATGTGAGAAGCGTGTAAAGGGCGCTAGTCGGTAATTAAATTAAAGAACACAAAAAATTAAAAAAATATGTACAATTGTTAAATTTCTTAATACATAGAAGTACGTAAAGACCAGTTCCAAATTTAAGTAGAAATCCGTTCAAAAGCTTGCTAAGAAAAAAGAACTTGGAAAATATTACGGGTTAAAAATGAAAAATGAGTATATGTATAAACGAGCAAATGGACGGACAAATGGATACAGGAGGACAAGGAGAAGGAAAAAAAGGAAGAGGAAACAGGAGAACGAGACGAAACGTACCCGACTGGTACAGCACGTGCCGGCTACTGGAAGAACTCGATGCCTGCTCGAAGAGCAAATCACCAACGTCTCCCTCCAGCGACCGAACGTAGCAACACTCTACCTATCGGCCATATTCGGGAAGTTCCGCGCGTTCTCGTAATTCGTCGTCAACCAGTTTCGCAGCGACCAACCAGTCTAGTCTTTCTCGCATCTCTTTGTGTCGCGTTGTATTAACAGATTTTAAATTATACTAGTTTTCTTACGAAAACGTGTGCGCGGGAAATCCTATGTATAATATTTCAAGAGAAATAATTCCTTGAGACATTTCCAAATCAAAAGAAACAAAAATGATCAATAAATATATCGAACACTACTCGTAATATGTTTGCTAATGACTTTTTGTATTTTAAATTATTATCATTTACCATATTAACAATGGTTGTCCTTTTTATGTATTTTTTAATTAGCAAAAATGTAAAATTTATTTAAATTTAATCGATTCGAACTAGAATATACTAATGTTTCTTGCATTATTTATTTGAAAAAAATTTCTGAAAATGTATGAAATAATGTTAAAAACTCACCTTTCTTTTTGTTTCCCATTTTGATTAAAATAGAACCACCACTATATTTAATACTAATATGGAAATCAAGTTTTTATACGAAAAACTTTTGTTTAATTATGAAAAATGCAATACGATAATACATTCCAAAGAGATTTTACAATGAAATATACGAGAGACAAATAAAACATTTTTTGATGATTAACCAACCATACGGTTGACGAAGAATCATGTGTATACTTTCGCCATTGTATTTATACTACGCGACGCACACGAACAAAAAAACATGATTCTTTTAATTAGAATATTCACTATGTCACGATGAACATATTTTCAGACATTAAACGTAATATCAATACTCATCATTAAAAAAAAAATCTTTTTTCTCGATAAAAGTAAATATAAATTGTTATTCGTACATTAAATTCTTATGAAAATTTCTAAAATATTCATTGTTAGGCGAAATAACACGATGCAGCACAAGTTGAAGAACGTTCTCTTTCTATTAATGTCGACGCAGTTCACTACCCCTTCGAACTGTACACGCGACCGGTATCAAAGAACTAAAGACGGGCGCATGATTTTTAGGTTAAGTTCATTGAATTTTCCTTTCACATATTTCAAAAACTTACAAGTCATTAATCCATATCACACCCGCTTCTACTATCTATTCACCTTCTCTAAACGAACATATTTTCTCTCTATATCTCTCTAAATATTCTTTACATTTTTTCTACTTCTCTCTTTCCTTCCCGTTCGATTCCACTTTCACTCTTCTACCTTGCAATACGACGACAACGACGACCACGGACATCTACATAATTCACTTGAGGGAACTACCTTGCCAACAGAGGGCGAGTAGTTGATACGCTTGGCACAGCGCACAACGCCGAATCCGCAAAATCTTTTAGTACAAAGCCCGTTCACATTGAAACGATAGAGAGAATTTGGAGCCATAAACGAAACTAATTCCACGTTAAATTTCACGAAAATTACTTTTATATTATTCGAAAATACAACAACCTACTTCGAAATTTAAATAACGAAAAAATGATATTATATCTACTGCAATAATAAATATGCTGTCGTGTTTGTTATATGAATGGTGTATGTTGTATGTCATATTGATCCATTCGTAAACGATCTTCACAAACATAATTATTAATATTGATGTATTTTTGATAGTAATTTTGGAATAGTCTCTACTGCTGATAATAATTACTAAATATATGATTATTAATTATATAAATTAAAGAAATGATGAAAAATGATCAAGTTAAAAATAAAAACTCACCATCATTTTGTTTATGTTGTAAAAGTTCGTTCCTGGCAACCACAATAGGCTCCTGCTCAGTTTTATCTCCACTAGCATCACCATTCGTTTTTTGATGATGATGATGATGATGATGATGATCAGGTTGATTATGTGCTGGTGCTGGAGTCGCACCTCTAGAACTAACGCTTTTCTCTCTCTTTTTATCCTTTTGCTCCCTGGTATTTGAAGACAGCTGTTCGGTGATAGGGTTACTAGATTGGCCATGGTGCGATTGAGATTTCCTCCTTGGTGGAGAATTCGACGACGTTGTTTTGCTCGAAAGATTGGAAAATGGTTCTCTCACAATAGTAGGATTAACACTGGGTGGAGTAGAGGACGATTTGCTGATCTCTGGTACAGTTACATTCGGAGCAGAATGTTGTTGTAATTGATGTGTTGGCGGTGGTAGTTGTTGCTGGTGGTGGTGGTGGTGTTGTTGTTGTTGTTGTTGTTGTTGTTGTTGTTGCTGCTGCTGATGGTGGTGATGGTGTTGTTGTTGATGATGTTGCGGCGGCGCCGATGGTGTCTGAACATTAACCGAGGAAGGACTCGTGGTATTCTTTGTTTCTTGTTCGACTACGGGCGTAGCGGTAGCAGTAGCCAACGTAGTGACAGGCTGTATAGGAATAGTATCAACATTGATTACGGCTACAGTTTCCTCGCTGCTGCTTACAGTCTTTTTCTCTCCTCTAGGATGAAATTCTTTTGCGAGAAGTTGCAATGGTTTAGATTCCACTGCCGATTTAATCGCGCAAGAAGGAGAGGAAATGGAAGTAGACGAGGAAACAATAGCCAAAGGCGTAGAGGATGAAACGGATGAGGGTGCGGCCGATGGCGCTGGACATGGTGCCGACGAAGTAGGAATTATTTCAATTTGAGTAACGTTATTAGACGTATCTAACGATTGACTACACAACGCGTGCACCTTGCTTATATTTTGCGTCGGTGTGGCCAAACCGTTGTTGTTGTTGCACTGACTGTTTATATCGTTAGAATTTGTTTGAATATTCGATAAACTTGGTGTCGTGATTTGTGACACGAAAGTTGTTTCTGGCGCGGTAACGGCCGGCACCGGTGAGCCGGAATCCGAACTCTCGGTTGCGGCTTTAGCAACACGTGCCGCAAAATCGGCCACCACCTCTGCACCGCTACTATTCTGTAACAATCACCAAATCTGCGTGATAGACGGCTGAGACGTAGTACGCGCTAAAAATTATGCAATAGACAACCAAAAACTCTTCCCAAACTCAAATCATACTGTTACCACTTGAACAGAAATCACCGACAAAAGAAACAAATAAACGTGCAAGATATTATTCTACGTCTTCTACCTTTCTGCCATGTTTATATGCAATCAATTAAATAAAATATACGTGCGGAATATAAAGAAACAGTAAAAGCTTTTTGTTTTATTATTTTACTCTACTGAATTCTGTCCAAATTTTATTCATAATCATTAATGATATTTTAATCCTCACTATTGAAAATTCATTACTTTTCCATATGCAAATTCATTAGGCAAAAAAATAACGTAAATTTGTAAGAATTTTAGAGATCAAATCATGGCTCGGGTATAAACGTAAATATAACACGAGCAATTGGCTAAAAAATCATTATTCTTTATTAAGATTTCATGATAATTAATACAGAAAATTCACTTTGTTTCTTTAGCCAATTACTTATGGTAAGTAATTGAAATATAAACGCACCTGTAATTGAGGTGTTTCACGATTACTAGATTCTGTACTTTCGACAGTTGCATCATCGTCATAGATTTCATGGCTAATATTTTTACCCGTACTAGGATTAACGATATCTGTTATGGCCTTTTCTCCTCTTGGCCTTCTGGATCTAATTGAACTACTTGCTCCTGTTGCACCTCCGCCATTATAACCCGAGTACACATCTGAAAAAAGATAAAAATTAACACATCTTATTAATTTATAAATTTCCTACATATATTTATTTTAATGCAATTTCGCTGATATTTTTTATTTAACTTCCGATTTATTTTTCATGATACTATAATGCACAATTATAAATTACTATATGTATAATACATTAATTATATTCTTATATATGAACAATGTGATTTCGAATAATCGTAACAACAAAAAACGTAATATTATAATTTTGTTATACTATAAGAATGAACAATATTACTAATTTAAGTAAACGAATTGAGTAATATATTTAAGTTAATTTTTTGTCTTAAGTAGATATATAAAAAAAGCGTATGTATATAACACAATACTAACAGATTTTCAAAAGATCATTTTAGGAATTAGTGAACCATAAACAACTATACAAATTAAGTAAACAAATTTATATATTTTTATTGTGACATGATCACTTAATCTCAAATTACTCAAAATATAAGGACTAAGTAAAAAGTACTATGATGTATTCGAATATTTAACTCTTTGCGATTAATGTCCAGAATAATCCTTTTGTTAGGAATATCACAATAAGTCAACATATTCTTGACAAAGCACTTTTACTGTTTACTGTTGTTTAGGAAGTGTATTCTACACAGTTTATCTTATTGCACTATATATACACATTCTTATAAACGAAATATAAATGAAATCTAACTTTTAGATCAAGAATCCACAATAGTATGATTTCCTAAGAAATTACACATATGTTACCTATTTTACAAATAAAAAAAATTCCAATCAACAGGATATCTATGATAAAAAATACTACTAATGTAAAAAGTTAACGTTAATAATTGCATTGTCCTTTACAGGCTTTAAATATAATAATTTATACTCTTAAACAGGTAACAGCATTGTTCTTATGTACTTGAAATATAATTATGTATATTTCATTCGTTGTATGTACGAAATAATTTTGAAAAATATATTTTATATATCGGTAACGTATTATAAAAGTTTACCATTATATAGTCCATATAGTCCGTATATTCCACTCACAACAAACATCGTTCGCAAATAATTTAACGTTCAAACACTTTTAAATTCAATCACAAACGGAACAAGACGTCTTCTCTTACCACTAGCTTCTAACGAACTGACAAAATTTCAAGATACTCTCACCAAGTTATATTTGAATTACTCATATTCTACCTGACTGCAGGTATATTTTTTGACCGTACCTTTACAATCGCAACCCTAAAATAACTTTCCTATTGTTAAAACCATAATAAACCAACTTTCTAGTATTTTATGTTCAAGGGTATATATCATTAGTAATATAGTACATTTACTAGAGTTTAAAAATCAAATGTTTCCAAAATTTTTCGTTCAATTTAATGACATTTTATGACATTCGATGTTTACATAATTTTATTACCTTCTTAATTTTCTGTTTTATTTAATTTTGTGAACTTCTATGAAAAATTTCAAAACTGAATTTCAATGTCATATTTAAACTTTATATGTATTTTTTTTAGGTTACACAAATATACACACCCCTTTTTCTGTTTATTTTCTTAAATAAACGTACCTATTTGGGGTAGAGGCTGAGGTTGTTGCGTAGGTTGTTGAAGAGTACCTTGTGGTACCATTGTAGCTCCTTGGGCACCACCTAGCGCTCCTCCAACATGTTGAGCCCCACCACTAACAGCGGTTGCGCTTGACCTATTTAAACTCAATGGTGCAGTGGGCGATGTATAAAAAACTGTAATAAGAGGTAAATAGATCATTATTGATATCTTTAAATTTACACTAATGATAATGTTTTGTAATACTTACAGCCAGGTTGAGGTGTTGGACCAGGCTGGTATGGATAAATATTTTGTGTTAAAAGGGCATGCGGTTGATATGGAGGATAAAAAGATTGATTTTGAGCTTGATGTCGTTGAGGTGCACTGGAGAACTGTAACAATACGTTAAACAATTATTAATTTAATTTGCTTATTATAAATCTGATATAAATTCTTTAAATGATCATACATAACACAAAATATAATTCAAGTTACTTTCTTATTAAAAAAATAATAAATAGTAGTTCATATTTACTTGAATAAGCTGATTATTCATATGATATACAGATTGTTGATGAGGGCCAGTTGGAATTCCAGCAACATGACTAGGGACAAATACTGTCCCTGGTTGACCTGTCAAGCCAGTCGTATACATGACAGGTGGTTGCCCGCCACCTCCACCTACCCCTGGCATGCCTACTACTTGATTTCCACTACCCCCTTGCCCACCTCTATGATTTAGATTTCTTGGTTGCTGTGGCCTCGGAGCAGCTGGATAATAACTCTAAAAAATATATTCAATTTACTGTGATGTATTGATGTTTAATTGATGATCTATATATTTTTAATCAACTTTCAATATAAATTATACATGTGCTTGTAGATGTGGTTGTTTTCCCATTTCCTGAGGTGAGGGAGTATGAACTGGAGGTGTCGTTGTTGGTGCCGGACCTTGGTTCTGCTGAGTTTGTACACCGGGTGCTTGTGCTTGTGGAGGAGCTTGACCACCAGCTGGACCTCCTGGTGGTATACCTGCTGTAGATTGTCCTATCGTTGGTATGCCACCAAGTGGTGGAGGTCCTCTACCCCCGGGTACACCTACACTCCCCCCTCCCCCGCCCACCTGCCCCCCTGGCTGGGCGCCGTAGTTTTGAGTTGGAACATGAAATTCTGATCCTAGAACAAAACAAATATATATTTTTTATAAAAGTAGTTTTATATACGAAAAGTCAAAAAGAAATATGTCACAGAAATATTGATATATTCTTCCATATGGAATTTTTATTTTACTATTCCTTTCATTACTATTAATAATTCAAACTTATATTAAAAGATTTAAATCATACTTCGACATTTCAAAAAATTACATGTAAAAAGTGTTATTTAAAAAAAAAAATGTCATTTTCAACCAGCATAAATCACGCTCCTAGTGTCAATCCAATAAAAAATATCACATTGATGCACAGCATTTCACAAAAATTGGAAGGAAGCATTGCAGAAAAATCATCTAATACATCGGGTCTAATCATCTAAACTCATCTAATTCTTCTTTCATGTCACGAATGATGATAATACAAAGGTGATAGAAGATGACCGTATGGAAATGTGAAGAAGTTTCGAATTAACGATGAAGAATAGAAGAAAAAGAAAACTGAGGAAAAAAGAAATAAAAATATCAAAAGAGCATACAAAGTTTAAAACACAATTTGCCACGAAAAACCATCGATTTCAGAAATTGCGTCCACATGAACGAGCTATCATCATTCTGCGATGACGATGTAAAACGAATTTTTCCGATGAACGAGCTCTCGCCATATTCCGTGCATACGCAACAACTAGACTTGCTAGACACTACACACACCGCGATACTTGATTGTATATTGCGCAACATGGCTTCAAGGTTGTAAGCCACGAAGTGGTTTCACGTTTGACGATTAAACTGTGCTTGAAGAGAAGGAAGAACAGAAGAAACTAAGTATTGTAAAACGATTGAAAAACGTGTTGATTTTAGGCGCATGACAAAATTTACCTCAAAGATTTTCCACGTACATAAAATATGGTAATATTACTCTCCTGTCGATAATTTGTTCATACTAATACTAATACCAACAACAACAATAATAATAATAATAATAATAATATTAATAATAATAATAATAATAATAATAATAATAATAATAATAATAATAATAATAACAAAAATAAATAATAAGAAAAAAAAAAAAATACAATTAACTTCCCACTTTCATTCTTTCTCGCAGGAGCATTGTCGTTAATATCCGATTACATGGACGAAGCAGAAACTCTTACTAATTTCAACGTCTGTATTTTGTTCTACCAACGAGAGAGTAACACATGTAAAATGTTTTATAGCATATTTTTTCAACGAATGAATGTGTGTGTGTGGAAAAATTAAGGGAAAAAAAGAAAAAAAGAAAAAAGAAAACTACAATGATTATGTATCTTTCACTTCTCGAGGCACCTGTCGCTGAAGTAATAAATCTAGTTACTTGTGAAAGCAATTATGCTAGGTAACATTTCTGGATACGTCAACTTCAACGTCACCGTCATCGTCATCGTCGTGTTTTCCTAGACTTAGTTTGTCATTGTTCACGAGGATACTGTACGTTATGTCGCGTCAATCACGTTAATAACAAAGAAGACAGACGAACGAAATAATAAACGCAAAAGGAAAATGTGATTGCGAAAAAAATTAGGGCCAGATATTTTTTATGAAAAATCTTTGGATAATAAAATAAGAAAAAGCTGGCATATAAATTTTGTCAAAAATTATTTTGCTCGAAAGCAATATATACGTTCATAAAGAAAAGGAGGAAAAAAAAATTGATAAGATTTCATGCAGATATAGAATAGAAACGATAGAAAGATTAGCAGACGTTTTTGATAACTTGTCTTTCTCTTTTTCTTATTTTCTCACCGTCTATGCTCCTCTTCGAAGCGTTTCACCCCTTTTTTTTTTTTTTTTTTTTTTTTTTTTTTTTTTTTTTTTTTTTTTTTTTGATTGTATCACTTCGAAACAACGTGGCAGATAACTTTTACAAATCGTCTTTTTTAAGAACGCACGCTTACACGAGACGATGGTAGTGTAGCACGTACGCGAGGGAAGGAACAACCAGACAGACCTCAGTGACGGCCATCTTTCTTTGCACATGTGGGCAGGAACCGGAGCGGTGCTGCTATCTGTAGTTCCATGAATGCATTGATTGCCCGCGAAAGGGGGGCGAGGCCGCAAAAGACTTCGCTGAGAGAACATCAGGGGCGTAACTATCCAAGACCATTCTCTATTTTTTCACCGCCAAAAATACCAAAAACAAACGCTTTTTCTCTTACGACCTACCTCAAAAATAAAAGGAAATAAAAGATACTATATGATATTAATAATATCAAATGTAAAAAGAACTATTGGAATTTAAGCAAAACATCGTTTGTTACAATATATGAAGAAAAAATATGAAACAGAAGAAATAAAAAATATCTTCGAATGATTCTCATGAAAAAAATGAAAATAAAAAAGAAATAAAAAAATGTTTGATAACCTTTAAAAGATTAACGAAGAAATGTGATATCCTCTTATTAAAAATTGCTAAAGTTCTTTGACTGATACTAAATACACCGTGTGTATACATTCTTATGTGACTTCGCACTTTTTGAAGAATCACTTTCTCTCTCCCCACTTCTCTATCACTTCTTTCATTTCATTATCGGTTTATTTATAGACAATCACGAGATAAATAAAATATTCTTATACGAAAGGAAAAACATAATTAATCGTAGGTAAACGTTATGCTAATTCCAAAAAGTCACATGGTTTGTAGACGTCCACGTGATATCGACCGTAAAACCGTATAAATGCATCTCCTTAGTCATCTAATTGGATATTGTTGGTTAAATTAATCTTCGACATTGTTGTCATTCTTGTTTGCTTCTTCTGTCGTTTTATGTTAGACGTTTAACAAACGGAAAAAATATCTGATACGATTATTTTTATAATTGGACAATGTTGCTATGAAGATAATGTTGTCCTCTATTTGATATTTTATGTAAAATAGTACAATACGTTTAATTCTCTCTCCCCCTCCCTTCCCACACACACACACACGCGCGCGCGCGTGTGTGTATGTATGTATGTATGTAAAACAATTAAATTATTACAAAACGGATATTCATTTTATCCTTGGAATCCATTTAAAGTTAGACAACTCGGTCGACTCGTTTTATCTTGCTCGAGATCTCTCTAGGAAGAGAAGTTTGTGATGCTTCGAAAGTATGTCAAATGTTTGACCGGAAGACAAGGACAGTGTATACTTTTCTCTCTTGCTGACAGTAGACTTTAAGCGAACAATTTCAAGCTCTTTAAAATATAATTCATGTGATTATGTTTATTTATATACAATTTAATAATGAGACATCTACAAATTATAAAAGTTGAATCGAAAGATGTTTACTGTTAATACAAATTTTTGCAAACGATATACTCTATTATGGACGACATGGAAGCGATATCAAATGTGATTTATTTCTTTCTATAAGTTAAATTTGAAATTAATCCTCTCATCGTACGTTAGGATTCTTATCGTACGATTTACCGAGATAAGTATTCAACAATGAACAATGAACAATGAACGACGAAAGAGGGTTGGTCGTTGTTCTGACGAGACGTATCATGCAAAAGGGAAAGGATTGAATGCACCTTCACGATGGCACAAGGCGAAAAGCATTTTATCGATTGACCTATATTTCGAATTGTTTCAAGCTCCGCATGAGGGCGCTTAAAACCTCTGACATATATACGGAACTTCTAAGATATATCGATATTAAAATGAACTTCATAAGTTCTTAAAAGGAAAAAAATAAATAAATAAAAATAAAAAGAAAGAAAAAGATTTTTCGAAAGAAGGATAAACAGATATTATCTCATTGTAAATCAAGCTAGAGGCATGATGTTAAATACGAAAGCCGTTCACTTACGACGCAATTCCAATTTTGTAAAATTCATATTTTCCATTTCCATTAATATATTCTAGAAATATATAGATGAATACAATGATCTGAATAAATGAAAGTGATGATCCATGATTCGAGTATAGAAGATCAAGTTATTACGAATCTGATCTAACAATGTGACTAAACATTAGTGTCAAACTTACACTGGCCTCTTGAATTATTATTGTATAAATGAACAAATGAAAATGTTTCGCCTGAAGCGATACTTTTCCCTTTATTACATAGTAGCAGTTTGATTTGAGCAAACGGTTAAATTTGAAAGAACCTATGACGACTGACTCCTCTACGTAAAAAAACGTCATGATCTCTTATTGAAATTACTCAACACTTTGAAGACACATAAAAACGCACATCTCTTTATCTTAATTCATTGAATGGACAAATCATTCTTGCACGACCTGAGCTCATCAGTGTGCCTGCAAATAGAGACAAGCTGTACAACTCCTGAACAGATAGGTCACCAGGTCAGATTAACTACCCCTCCGCATACCCGAAAATAACTCAGGCTTGGTATACATTCGATCTCTATTAGTAGACAAATTAAATATTTGAGACTATGCCATCACAATACAGTATCATAAGACGATATGTATCAATTTCCTAAAAACCATATACGAATATAAAATTCAACGATAGAAAATATAACAAAATGAGAAATAATGAAGTAACAAAATGTTTCAAAAATACGATGGAAAACCAAGGTGCATCCATTGGTCAACAAACAACATGTCCATGATGGAGCATTTAAGAAACGTCTAGGTCAGCCAGCATAAATAGAACATGCACATTTATCATTAGGCGAAGAACGAAAGGGAAGAATATGAAAGAATATATGTAAATGGTTTGAATCAAGGCATGTTACAAAATAACAGGAAAATAAATTCATGCGAATGTCATCCAAAATAAAATAGAATTTCCGGCTATTCCCAATTATTCTGATAAGTATGTAATTTATAGTTTCTAAATTTGAATTCAATAAATCATACAAAATTAAAAATAATTTTCTAGCAATATACAATCGTTAAAGATTTCATTGTCAAATGTATCATTGACTGTTCCGTAATGTATTTATTAGCAGGATATATATAAAGAGATGAAAATTGTCTAATCGCATGGTGTTTTTCCCACACTTCTCGATGTCTGCTTGCGCCTACTCTCACACCACGAACTGGGATATATGTATCTTTATCCCTACCACGATATTCTCTCGTGATACTTCTACTATCACGTATCCCCACCACTACATCTTCCTACGGTTGGTTCTCACTGCTGAACGTCAAGGAGAGAACATTCCTTAGGTGGGGGAAGTTACGCCAAGCTAGCACACGGGTAAGTAGGTGGGGTAAGGAACACTACGTCTGGATTGGGCCTGGCTTAGGCAACGGTCGCAGATTTATCGATCGTTTAACTATAAAGTCATAGTCTCTCCTTCCTTCCTCCCTCCCTATGTGTATATATTATTTATATTAATTTTAATAAAATTAAAATAGATGGATGAGACAATAGATTATATCTAATTTTGAAGCAAGAGATCACAATGAACCAATGGTTCGAATAAAATCGAGGAACTATTCGATATTAATATGTCAATAAAATCCACCATATTTAAAGGCAATGATCTCTAAACGTAATCGACGATGAAACCTAATTACACTGCTGTGGCGGCCATGGCCCGTTCTTTATTCCGTTAGGTCGTCTGTCATTTGTGAACATGATGAAATACCGTCGTTTTATCGCTCGTTAACTAACTCAGTTCCTCAGTAGAGAAGACAAAAATTGCTCACGGTACTACGACTTGTCTATTGTGTTTTGAAAAACGAATTTTTTTTGATATACCACATCACGATCATTTATTAAAAAGTAGAATTAAAACTTGGTGTCCTATTTCCGGGAAAAGTAAAATTAGTTCACCGTAAATATTACTCTTTGCCTTCATAAAATTTGATGATATTAAAAGGATATATATACATGCCGGAAGGAACAGGCGAAAAAGCTTCATCGATGCAATGCATTCGTTGTCTATAACTCGTGATAAGTTCGTAAGCATATTTATAAAAAAAATATCTCCAAGGAGTAAAAGGAAATAAGTCAGCGACCTGGAGGAGGAGCGCATTTTTCATCATACGTTTACAATTTGACAAAGTTGAGATCAATGCACGATCAACTACTAATTCTATCTATTTATCTATTAATCTATCTATCTATCTATATATCTATCTATCTATATATATATCTACACATTGTCTTCACTTTGAAGGATTTTCTCCCTCCTCGATACTTACTAGTGTTAGCTGTAACAACACGATACTGTGGTGGGGCTTGTTGATGTTGAGCGAGTTGATGTCCGAGATGGTTGATGTTGACGGTCAATTGATGATGGCTCAGCTGGTGATTCAAATGAGGACTTGGCGATGGCGGTGGCGGGTGAGCGGCATGATGCACGTGGTGATTATGACCCGGTTGAGGATTTTGTGGATGAGGGGCCGATAAATGATGATGATGATGCGGCCCTCCTATTAAACAATGCATAGGTCCTACTCCCACGGCGACGTCCACTGCGCCCTCCTTCGAGACGCCATATCTCGAAACCATTCTTTATTCCTATCGTTGATCCTTTCGTCGTCGTTGTTCTAGCTTTGCCGCCGCCGCCGTGTAGTTGGTCCTGTCCGGCCTCAACGACGTTCCTTGTCCAAGATCGTTGGTTAAAGACCGATAAATCCTCGCGCGCTCGTGTGATTGATTTTGTTTGTTTGTTTGTTTGCTTTTTTTTTACTTTCGTCTAAAGTTTTTCGACGATTGTAACGTCGTATTTAATTGGGGGAAAAATTGATAAAACAGAGAGAAAAGTGTACAGGAGTGAGCGAAAGATATGTTATTGAAAGAAGATGCGTGACAAAACGCTAGGGTTTATCTTTTCCAAAGATCGAGGATATCTTTTTTTTTATTTATTTATATTTTTTTGTTCTTTTTACTAAAGAAGACAGAGCGTGCGTGTAGGCTCGTATTATGACGATCTTCGGGTAAAAAAGATTATATCGATATTTAACCAACACTACCTTCGTTATTCACGGGCGTTTCAATCGGCGATGGAGCACCATGACGTCATCGTTTTCTGTTATCGACGACAACGAACGATACGATCGCCGATCGTCCGTCGTGTAGAGTTATATTATTCTCTTCGAAAGTTCGTCATCGAAACCACGAAATCCTTCTTTCCGTGGCTGCTTCTATTCCTCCTTATCGTATCTTTCCTTGTCCTAATCTCGATGAAGATATACGGATTAATGTGTGGATGATAACGCGCCTCGTTTCTGCCACCAAAAGAACACATGAATATCGCTGCTGCTGCTGCTGCTGCTGCTGCTATTAGCGATACGTTGCTTGCTGTCGTCGCCGCTGCTGCTGCTGCTGCCGGCGGCGCTGCCGTTGCAAGCAAGCGTTCACTCGAAATAATATCGCGTTTTTATCGACGGAAGAACGATGTATGCATTCGCAGTCTCACAGTGAACATCAAATAACGCGCGTACTTCGAATTATGATGAGAGATTTTATCGTTAAATTCTCGTTTATAATACTCGCGTTTCTATTCAGATCGGTCGAGAACAACCGACCGACCGACCGACTCCAACGACGACGACAACGTCGACTCGACGAACAAACGAAGATCAACGACGTTTCGCGAGACTCGTCGAAGAGAATCAATGGCCGCCGTGTGTGGTACTACTGTCGTACCGCCGCAGCAGTCGGTACAAGAGTGCTCCTCTATTGTTAAGAAAAGAAACTTAGGACGACGAACGAGAAAGACGGACTTGTCCTTCGACGAGTTTCAAAAAGACGACGCTGCTCGTAGACATATAAGTAGTACTCTCCTCGTTACTCGATGATTCTTCACCGTGAAGCACACCACGTTGCGTGCTTTCCTTAAGATAGTAGTAGATCGAATGCACGTGACGATACGAAAGCTGCATTTTCAATCGCGTCGATGAATGCGAACGCGATATTGTTATTATTATTATTAAAATTACTATAAATATTACGTATAGGGTTATTTATATATATGCATATATTTATATTATATTGTGTTTTGACGATAAACCGATCAAAGGATAAAATTTAAATGAATTATTTTCTAGTCTCGTGTGTTGTCACGCTCTTCGCTGTTGCTCGTGTCGAGAGGGATGAATATCGCGCGTCATTTTATTCCTTTCTCGTATTTCTCTTTTTTTCTTACAGTCGCAATAGAAATCCGTCGCGCGCGTGTCCGTTAAAAACTTGTCGGTAACAAAGATGATAAACGAAGAGATGGAAGGGTACGATGTAAACGGGCTATCGGCGCTCGTCCATGCCAAAATCGATATTTAAGTCACGACATCGGCTACTCCCTCTTCACGGCGCCGACTCCTCTCTCTGTCTGTCTCTCTCACTCACTCACTCACTCCCTCTTCCGGTTCTATACGAGGACGGAGAGGAGAAGTAAGGATAGAGGGGATAGATTACGCATTTATCACGAGTATCGAAAGTCCCTCTCTTTCCTCTTTCTATCTCTCTTTCTCTAGCGTACAATGCTTAATTTCCTATGGGATTTCCGTTTTTGGTTCTTCTCTTTCTCTCTTTTTGTTTGTTTCTCACTCAACACAATCGGTGATTGACTCTTCCTATTCTCTCTTTCTATTCTGCACCGAGCCGTATTTTCTCTCTCTCTCCACCGTGTGGCGCTGCTCGGAAACTTTCGGTCGCGTGTCGAAATTTGCCGAGCAACAAAAGAGACTAAAGCCGAATTCACCTTTCACGAGAAGAGCGCTACCCTTTTCCCTTTATCCTTTTCTTGTTTCTATACGTTTATCTTATTTTTTTCTCTATTATATATATTATCGCGCGAAGACGACGGCGACGATAACTTCGTACACGTAAGTCAACGGCATACACTTTCCCGATCGCAGCACGAGAGAAACGCGAGAGACACTTGGCGGGCGGCATACACGATAGCACCGCGCAGTGGCGCTCACAGCGCCAACAATTGAGACCTCTCTCTCACTATATATTTCTATCTATATCTCTATCTTCAAGTGAAGGCGTTATGAGCGCAATCGCTTTTATTACCAATAGGACAACAACGACGATGACGACGATGACGACGACGACGACGACGACGACGACGACGACGACAAGAAACGACACATATCTCTTAGACGCTATGTAAAATAAAATAAACGAACGATGAACAGCTTCGTCCACCCTTCGTATGGATACGTACGTTTATACGTAAGTCGTGTGTTCGCGCGCGCGCGCGCACTTGCAAACTGACTCTAGAACGAATCTCACTGCACCACTAGAGCACCATCAAGGTACCAAAGAGATTCACGTTACGTGGCCTCGACACACAAGGCCACGCGACGCACGCGAGACGTCACGCGCGTCGCTTCCTTTCTTTTTTTATACTTTCTGGGATATACGTTGCTATCCTTGATGGATGGCCACGCCACGTACCGCGTATTTCTTCTTCTTCTTCTCTTCTTGTCTATTACGTAAAGATCGACAAAGTATAAGGTAAGGGGAAAAGAGGGAAGACCACTGAACTCCACAATTATACCAATGCGGTGCGCACCCTTCGATGAGGGACGCGTAAGACTGATGCGAACCAGTCTTCGCACGACCTACCAACCAACCAACCAACCAACCAACCACGAATCGTGGTCCTCTAGCGGTCCATAGTGTAACTAAAGAAAGTCAGGGCCGCCTATGGGAAAACATATATCCCCATGTCTTTACGAGAGTTCTTCTTTCTTGCACTATTTTAGAGATCTGTGATCGTATACGACCATGATTTTGTCAAAGTTATTAATATAAATATATTTTTAAAATGTGGAAAATGTGGAAAACATCTCTTCGAATAATTACTCGGATTATTGGCATAATCATGTCAAATTGTATTTCTTGATTAATCAGTGAAATATATACCAATTTACTTTAGATTGGATCAACCATAAAGCACTCGTTATTTGACTCGTATTCAAAACTGATTGTAAATAATTCTTAATTATTAATATTTATTATAAATAATGTTTCACGTATAAAATGAAAATAAAAAATTATAAAAAAATTTATTTCATTTCGAATATTATCTTTCGTGTATCACAATATTAATACATTGATTAACTTTAACAATATTCAAAGGGAATACAGATATTTTTATTGAAACGATAATAAAGATAAAAATTTGAATTTTGTAAAATGTATAACAATCGATACGTTCCTGAGAAATAGTCAAACCTCGAAGTAGCGAAAGAAATGCAGAAAGAGCCGACGAACGTACAAGATCGCGTGCGCAGGCCAATGGGCAAGAGTGCAGGACATTGGTGCGCATGCGCAGATCGACGGCGAATACCCTTCGGCCCGCGTGAATGCAGCGGGCACAGCCCTGTTACGGTGCATTTGAGGGTAATGTGGTAGCAGGCAGCAGCTTTGTGCGTGCGTGCGCACGTATAACCCGTTTTAAATAACTCAACCACCAGATGTGTCACACCTACTAAATCCTGCGAAAAAGTTGCATGTGAATACTGAAATTATTTATGAGTCGATTTTTTATCTTGTATAATTTTATTTTTTTTTTAATTTTTTACTTCGAGTAATCAAGCCCTCTCTTGAATATCTTTAACCGTCGTATAACACGCATTTATTTCATTTCGAATGTCATGAATTTAATCCTTTCAATAAAAGGAAAGAAAAAAATGACTAAAACAACTTTGTCTCATAAAATTATCTTATATATATTCGAAACTTAATTTTTAAGTTGCAATTTCTTCAGTCAAAATCTTCAGTTACAATCTGCAATTGTTACGGCCATTAATAACTGATCTTGCATATAATGTATTGATACCAAAAAATGTCCCATGAATCATCCGACTTTCTCTTAAGGTTAAGTTAAGAAGAAAAACTTATCATTATGAGAACTAATCACATTATCTCCGAAAATATCTATACTTTCACAAGTAAAAACAACCTAAATAAAATATTCTATGTTATTAATAATATATACAAATATATATATATGAAATATATATATTTTATGTAACAATCTATTCGAGCTAATAATTTCTTATTATCTTAACGATGATGAAGCAATGTACTTCTGATATAATTGAATGGCTAATGATATTTGATCGTTGAAATGTGTTTGTACAATAAACTGGAATATAAACACAACATTCCAAGAAGATAACTAAAAGAGTCATAGGAAAGGTTAAACGTATGTATTATTCAAGGACTATAGAAATTATATTCGAAAATATAAACAATGATTCATTCTGAATGATTTCGTGAAAAATGTTTAAAGTTATTTTTGTTTTTATTTGTACATTTATCTTATATATCTCAAGTAATCAAGTCATGACATGAAAAAATGTCTCCTTTGTCTCGAGAACTTCCGTCAATTGTCGTCCGAAAATCTCTAAACGATTACAATTCAATAACATCTCTGTTAATATATGAAATATGTTGTAAAAGGACAGTAAGAAAGTACAATCATAAAAACAGATAATATGTGTGTACGAAGACAATGTACAGATATAGAAATTTAGAAAATCTAATGACCAAGGGAAACGAGTTGGTAAAATATTGTAGGCAATTTATACTAATTCAGAAATAACAATTAACCGTTACGGTACTTCTTTCATATTTAAAAAAAAAATTTCTTGTAATAAATTTTACAAGCACGATATACGCCTAGGAAATCTCAAAGGGAATAAATCACGCATCCGTATTTCAATACAAGAATGAAGTATTTAGTAAAGATGGAAGGAAGTGGAGAAAGTAATAAAATGGTTGGAAGAAAGAATATTTTACCAAATGGGAGAAGAAATGGCTGTGAAGGAGGCAGAGAAGGGAACAAAAGATGAGATCTGGTGACCAGCGTCAGAACACCTGTCTCCTACTGTAAAACAATTATTCTCAGTTTGAGTCTTCCCTTCATTATTAAATACACACCTATGCGATAAGGAATTTGACGAACGTAAAGTTGAAATTTAAACTGGGACGATATTGAAAATCATTCCGAATACGCGAAAAAAGCACAAGTAAAGGAGAATGTCGCTAATCCAACGATGAAATGGACGAAGAGAAGAAAGGGAGACGTGAGAAGAAGGCTAAAGGCCACTTCAAGGAAGAGAGGAAGATGATCCGCATGTGTAAATTCGTTCGGTAGGTAACCCAGTTTTGACGACGATGCACCAACCAAGTCGGGTCGCAGCGACGCCGTGGTTCGATCGATACCTACACGCACTCGCCGCTCTGCTTACAGCCTAGATTCGCTTGCCTAGGATAGGTGCATGAAGGGAGACGTGTGACCTACATAACTTGGAGAATGGCGAAAAGAGGAAATATATCGCGCGAGAGAGAGAGAGAGAGAGAGAGAGAGAGAGAGAGAGAGAGAGAGAGAGAGAGAGAGAGAGAGAGAGAGAGAGAGAGAGAGAGAGAGAGAGAGAGAGAGAGAGAGAGAGAGAGAGAGAGAGAGAGAGAGAGAGAGAGAGAGAGAGAGAGGGAGAGGGAGAAAGAGAAAATGTTGATTCTCATGACCATTGATATCTTCAACATATCCATGATAAACGGACATCCTGTGAGCGAACGTGAAAAGATTTGCTCTTCCGTAAGCATCTTCTATTTAGTCGTCAATCTAAGATTTTCTATATGCTAAGTAAAAATTCTATCTTTGAAATTAAATTCCATTAAATAATCATGAATTAAGACCAATAAAATCAAATAATTTAGTTTAATAGGAAAAACTGTTTGAAGAGATAAGCATGTTTGAAAAATACGCTAACACTGAAGCTACGTCTTAGTTTCTTACTGCTTGAGGTCTTGTCGACGCTTGTCCAATGAGCATGCGCGCGCATGCATGTTTTGTGTGTGTATGTGTGTAGGCGGACTAGAAGAAAAGAATACGAAAAAGGTAAGTGGAAGGAAGGATGAAAAAAGATAAAGAGAATCGTCTAGTCGTATTCGAAGAAGAAAAACTGAAGATTTCGAAAATAGTAGAAATACGACGTTCCTGTCTGCGCGGCTGCCGTGAGAAGAGCCAGACTGACAAGAGGGGGGTCCGAGAGGAGAAGGGAAGGATAATGTAAAGAGAAGGAGGACGAAGAGAAGGGGCGTCGCAACCCTCCTATATTGTTGTCGTCTCTCTCGGTTGGACCGTTTCGATCGTACGAGACATGCGGCTAAGTTCAAAGTCCTTCGCACATGGCAAAATCGTGCTGCTGCTCTTCTGAGTCATTGCCGATGTAGATCTGAGAGTGAAGAATCATCCTCGTTCTACCTTTTTTCTTTGTATCAAACTTATTCCAAGAAGACGATAGAGTTTTATCTAATTATGATGATTTTTTCTTAATTAAGCAGATAAATAAGCACAAAGAAAAGTTTATATATATATATATAATAGAATATGAGTAACGCGTTATCGCTACTTTTTCTGCAAAGAATGTCTTGTGAATTGATCGATCAGGAAAGAAGCTAAGAAGTAAAGTCGGTTAACAAAGATAAGCCTCTCTATATGCATGTATTGTCTTTCCTCGCTGTTCTACCCATTGACTACTGTTTCTTTATGAAATGACGTTAGTAGGATTTTAACGAGAGCTTCAAATTTTATATGGAACACTTTTGTATGGTACAATTTCTGTTCTCGACAAAAGATTCTAATCGTTCGAACTTCATATCGAGCTAAATGTAATTCTGCTTATACAAATGGTACTCCTTAATCACCTACGATACGATAAGAAAAAAATAATGAATGTGTGCGTGTGTGTGTGTGTGTGAGAGAGAGAAAGAGAGAGAGACAGAGAGAGAACGATCGGTTCTCAAGTTGTTTTTAGGAATACGTTCGATCTCGAGTTTCGCTAAGTTTATCGTAGCATCAGCGTGAAAAAGAGTGAGAGAGAAAGAAGAAGAAGTAGGAAGGAGAGGGAAAGACGAACCATACAAGTCGCTTTCCAGGGGTCTTTGAGCCCTCGAGCCGTTGACCTTGGAAAGGTAGCATGGAAACCTCGTGGTGTCGAACAGTAGTACTCTCTACGTGGGCGTTTAGTACGAGGTTACCGGACTGAGGAAAGAGAGGTGGGGGCAGGATAGAGAGAAATGAAGAGAGTTAAAAGAGTAGGAGATTCAACGCAGCAGACACGACGAACGACGAAAGAAAGAAAGAAAGAAAGAAAGAAAGAAAGAAGAAAGAAAGAAAGAAAGAAGGAAGGAAGGAAGGAAAGAAAGAAAGAAAGAAAGAAAGAAAGAAAGAAAAAATAAAGAAAAAAAGAAAGAAAGAAAGAAAGAAAGAAAGAAAGAAAGAAAGAAAGAAAGAAAGAAAGAAAGAAAGAAAGAAAGAAAGAAAGAAAGAAAGAAAGAAAGAAAGAAAGAAAGAAAGAAAGAAAGAAAGAAAGAACGAACGAACGAACGAACGAACGAACGAACGAACGAACGAACGAACGAACGAACGAACGAACGAACGAACGAACGAACGAACGAACGAACGAACGAACGAACGAACGAACGAACGAACGAACGAACGAACGAACGAACGAACGAACGAACGAACGAACGAACGAACGAACGAACGAACGAACGAACGAACGAACGAACGAACGAACGAACGAACGAACGAACGAACGAACGAACGAACGAACGAACGAACGAACGAACGAACGAACGAACGAACGAACGAACGAACGAACGAACGAACGAACGAACGAACGAACGAACGAACGAACGAACGAACGAACGAACGAACGAACGAACGAACGAACGAACGAACGAACGAACGAACGAACGAACGAACGAACGAACGAACGAACGAACGAACGAACGAACGAACGAACGAACGAACGAACGAACGAACGAACGAACGAACGAACGAACGAACGAACGAACGAACGAACGAACGAACGAACGAACGAACGAACGAACGAACGAACGAACGAACGAACGAACGAACGAACGAACGAACGAACGAACGAACGAACGAACGAACGAACGAACGAACGAACGAACGAACGAACGAACGAACGAACGAACGAACGAACGAACGAACGAACGAACGAACGAACGAACGAACGAACGAACGAACGAACGAACGAACGAACGAACGAACGAACGAACGAACGAACGAACGAACGAACGAACGAACGAACGAACGAACGAACGAACGAACGAACGAACGAACGAACGAACGAACGAACGAACGAACGAACGAACGAACGAACGAACGAACGAACGAACGAACGAACGAACGAACGAACGAACGAACGAACGAACGAACGAACGAACGAACGAACGAACGAACGAACGAACGAACGAACGAACGAACGAACGAACGAACGAACGAACGAACGAACGAACGAACGAACGAACGAACGAACGAACGAACGAACGAACGAACGAACGAACGAACGAACGAACGAACGAACGAACGAACGAACGAACGAACGAACGAACGAACGAACGAACGAACGAACGAACGAACGAACGAACGAACGAACGAACGAACGAACGAACG